CCTGATGCTGCCAATTGGTCCAGTGGTGAGAATCTTTGTCTTCTTGACATTGAGCCTCAATCCATATTGTAGGCTGTAGTCCTTGACCCTATGCAGCAGGTGCTTCAGGTCCTCTTCATTTTCATACTTGAGTAGTAAGCTTTATTTATTGAATTTGGCTTAAATGAAGAGTAAGTTATTTTTGGTCACAAGCAGTTTTAAGTGTCTTGGTTCCTTGTCATTCACGTGTTGCTTCTGCATTATATGGGTCCCTAACAGAAGTCACATCTCTTTGGACTAGATGAATGCTTGCTGTGAATAGGATGGCTGTGGAGTGAGCCCTAATTGTCAGAATATTCTTCTTCTTTCTTTTTCAAAGTGTGGTGAACACATACCCACGAAAATACCTACCAGCTCATCATTTTCAATATGAACAGCCCAGTTACACTGACCATGCTCAGTGTCTTCATCCAAGAGTGTTCCTCCACCTTTACCTCCCACAAATGCTTCCCCTTTCCTCCTCCTCCTCACCCTGGAAACTACTTGGATTCTTAATATCTTTACTTATTTTGTATACGTGAAACCATCAAGTCATTGTCCATATGTGCCCGACTTAACTCTTCTCAGCATCATACCTTCAGGGTTCGTCCTTACTGTGGTGTGGATTGGGACTTTTGAATGTCTGTTTGTGGCTGGGTAGGCTTCCATGTGTGTGTGCGTGTGTATGTCAAGTTTTGTTTATTCGTTCGTCCATGGTGCACAGTTACCATTGTTGGCTGTTGTGAAAAAGTACTGCTAACAAACAGTAGTGTATAGAGTTTTCATTTGCGTTCTGGCCTTCATTTCACATATGTATGATTGAGATTGTGGAGTCACAGAGTGATTCTGTGTTACACTTTTTGAGACCCAAATTATTACCTAGTTTTTCCTTTAGTTGATATTTTACTGAGTTTTTGATGAAAGCTTACATGAATTGGATGTCCGTTTGGCAGTTTGTGTGCGCAGATTGTTGGTAACATGGGTAACCTCTTCAGAGCCTGTCCATGTTCTCTTTGTGTTTGTTCCCTTTCCAGTACACTAGTTTCCTTGCCTTCTTCTCATCCTTTTTTAAAAAAAATAATAATAGCTGGCCTAATGATCTTGTTTTGTTGGTTTGTAAATAATTTTACAGGTAAATCTATCCTTTTTTCTGTGTTTGCTGTTCTGCTGTTTGGCTCCAGGGCGATCTTGGGGATAGGCTTGATTCTAGTAGTTCTGGATGTAACGTGTCTTGGAGTGGTTGCCTCGGGAGCCTTCTCTGTCCTGTTGTCCAGTTTGTCTGTTGTTTTCGGTTTGTTTTTAAATGAGAATTAGTATTCTGGCCATTTCTCTCCTATCTCTGTAGGACTTGGTCGTCAGATCAGCCAGTGGTTGTAGCTGGTGCCTGCTGGGTCTGGTCTAAAGGGAGAGCATGTTGTGGCTCACGGATGCTTATCTCCTCTGTGGACCTTGTGGGTCTTGCCAGGGAGAAGTATCTGCCTGTGGGTGGTGTCTGACATTGTGGGGGCTGCTAAAAAAATAAATGGGTAGAAATGAAAGACCAGGACTAAGAGAGTAAGGAGCCATTTAGAGTGACTGAAGCCTCTTGGGAATAGAAAAGGATGAAGCTGGAAGAGACAGCCCGAGAGAGTGCTGCGTGGAGAGGGGTTGTGCTCCACACAACTGGCTGTGTCACAGGAAAGATCTGATCTGGTCTGTGTTGTTAGACTATCATAGCAAAAGTGGCCATAGAAGTATTGAAGCAGGTCACCATATGTACCTTTTTCACTGCTGCCTCTTCCCTTTGCTGAATCTGTCCTTTGCCAAGAGCCAGTTCTTCTCAAAGTTTCTCATCCCCACCTTGATCTGCACTTTCTCAATATTCCCTGTTCTCTGTTCTTTGAGCCTTGGCACACATGGTCTCTTAGTTTTCCTTTCTTTGTGTATTTCATACAGTCTCTGAGAGCATAGACCAGGGTTTGGCCCTCTTAGTGTGTCTGGATACAGGATGCTGTTGAATTTACCTTTATTACAACTTCCCTACACATGTTCGTGAACAGAGGCAATCCTAGTTGAGGGCTTAAATAACTCATCAGGTTTGGGTATAATTCCTTGGACTGTCCTGGAAACATTCTTTTCTAAGTTTTTTACCTTTCAGAAAAAGAGGAAAGAAAGAAAAAGGAAACCTCCTTTGTTCCTCCACAAAAAACTGAAATCCTGAAAGATTTCTCTTTTTTCCAAACATTTATTAGCATCTATCTTAATTCATACTCAGCACTTTATTTGGATCTGGGAACATAAAAGAAGAATAAGTCACAGTTTTTGCTGCCAGATCTACTTTTTACTTAGTGAAATGTTCTGTTGTGGTCCTTTTCTCTCTGTCCTGCTTTCCATTCAGACTCACGGCAAAGGAGGGAAGAAGGTGGCCCAGACGGATGAGTGGAGGAGTGGCCACGTTGAAGAGCGCCTGGAGTACGCCCTGATCAAGGTGAGTCCTGGGCACTGAACCTGTGGAGGCTGTTGGGGCTCGAGTCCCGATGCTGGAGGAGAGCGTTCCTTGGGCGAGTGCTCTGTGACTGCAGCTGTTTTGGCCCCTGGATCAATTTGGTCATGTGTGAAGGAGCTTTACGGTGGTTCTTGCCTTCATTGGCCAGGGATACTCCTGCTCTCCTCCAGTGCACTGGATAGCCCTCACAATGACATCTCTAGTCCAACATGCCCATAGGGCTGAGGTGGAGGAGCCCTGCGTTAGCCCGGGAGTCATCGGTAGCCAGTCCTGGTCTAATTCCTTCTGGGAACTGGAATTTGAGGCAAGAGAAAGAACCTTTTGACTGCACACCCCCATTTCTGATTGTGGAGAATTTAGAACTCTTTCTTGAACACTAGAAATTTAAATTTTAATTGCTTAGACCTCTTAGGGTTCATGTATTTCAGTTTCTAGAACTAGCCAGCTCTATCTCAGTGGCCGTCCTCTGGGGACTGTGGATGAGTGTGGTCTGATCAGTGAAGGCTGACTGAACAGAATCCACTGCCAGAGTAGCCTGTGCCCACTGTTCCCTTCTGTCTGTCGCTTTAACACTGTAGTGAGGAAGCATACGGACTTCATAGGAGAGCTGATTAATGCATTAAATTACTGGCTTACAAAGTACATTATGAATTAGAAGTACCCAGGGTACTTCTGGTGCTGAAGGAGGACACTCCCTGGGCTATTGGACCCTGACTGCAGCCAGCACTATATAGCAGAGAGCTCTGGTTGGTGGCCTACTACTGGGTAGGGAGTTGTGTTGCCAGCCCAAAGGCAGGCAGTTCAATTCCGCCAGCAATTCTTCAGAACAAAGATTAGGCGATCTCATTCCTGTGACTTAGAGCCATTGGGAACCTGTTGGAGGGTCAGCTATGGGTTGATTCCAGCTTGATAGCAATGCATGCATTTAGATTTACTTATTAAAGCCAATTATGCACTTTAATGGATTATTTAATTTAATCCTCAGAATAACTCTTTTCAGTCAAAGTCATTATATGCTGTGGAGTCAGAACTGACTCATAGCTCTCCAGCATGTGGGTTTTCAGAGGCATTAAATTGTATGGGAAGAGATTGCCCATCCTGCATCCAAGGAGCTATCATAGATCCGGACCACCAAGAGGCTCCAACTTTGGATTAGCAGCTTATCTCCAACGGTGTGGACTAGGCCACTGGAGCTCCCTGAATAGCCCATGTTAGGTAAATACTATTGCTCTCTGGTGGCCCAGTGGTAAGAAGCTGCGCTGCAATCCCAGAGGCGTGTGGCTCAATCCACCAGCTCCTCGTGAGACAAAGATGGATGATCTCCTGTGTGATTTCTGCCTCTAAAAACCCGTTGCAAGGTTAGCTATGTCTCGGCAAATAACAGCAACATTGCCTTTTTAAGTTGAGGAAGCCGAAGACTGCTTAACTGAGTGGAGGCAGGATCTTAGTCCCTCTGGTTCCAGAGGCTGTACATTTTTCAGTATTTCCCACTTTGTTGGTAATTAAATGTAAGTAAATTTTTTAAGTAAGATACATATTTGATGTGATGTGTGTGTATATATTTTTATGTGTGTGTTTAGGGCATTGAAAAGCATATTATTGAAGATACGGAGGAAGCCAGGTTAAACCAGGAGAAGTACCCACGGCCTCTGCATATAATCGAAGGGCCCCTGATGAGCGGCATGAAAGTTGTTGGTGACCTTTTTGGAGCTGGAAAAATGTTTCTACCTCAGGTGGGCAGAGGACGGGAAGACATTTCAAGTCAGTCATTTTTTATGTCTTTTAATAAAAGAAGAGTGAGTGTGGGTGTATTTCTCCAGTTCTAATTTAGATGAGAGCTTGGAGACGTTGAAGTTTGTTTCTTCCTTCGAGTGTATTTAGGAATACTGCTAACACTTGGGGTAAAGCCATCTCTCGGATGATGGGGAGGGTGGTTAGATGTCACGCGCAGGTTCATGGGGTCCTCATATGCTAACTTTCTGTATTACCTTTTACCCTTAACTCCTGTCTCCCCAACAAAATAAAATAAAGCCCAAAATAAGTGCAGGGTTTACAGTTTTAAGGTTTGATTTGACCAATTCTAGGATTGACTTTTTTTTTTTAATGTCTTAGCTTGTTTGTGGGTTCTTTTTTAAATTTTTATTTTAGTTTTTTAATTATTTTTTTTTGTGTGTGTACCGTTGAGTTGGATCTGACTAGTACAGGAGGAGATTGCCCCTCCTTCTCCAGCAGAGCATCTGGTGGATTTGAACTGCATGCCTTTAGGATTGCAGCGCAGCTTCTTGCCACTAGGCCGCCAGAGCTTCCAGGTTCCATCTTTAAGGATTCATACTTTGCCCATCCTTCTCCTAAGCAGCAGCTGGTGAATTTGAACTACGTGACTTTGGCATTGCAGTACAGCATCTTACGACTAGGCCACTAGCGCTCCCTAAAGATGCCTATTTTGAAAATGGGGCTTCTTGATGTGGACAAGGTTCCCAAAGGAGAAGATGAAACATGGAGGATGCACTGAACTGGGGAGGAGGGAGTACCTGCGAGGCAGAGAAGAAGTCGAGTGAGGTTTAGGGGACAGAAGTTGCACACTTGATTTCTGCTCTGGATTTCCTTCTGCTTGTACTTCCTTCAGTGGACTTCTCTACTGGGAGCTCATTCCTCTCTCACCACTCTCACGACCAGATTCTGCATCAGCTGGCCTGAAGAGGACAGTGTGCATTCTTGTACTGAAATATCACCAGTGATAATTTAGCAGCCATGCAGATAGTTTGCTGCGGTACCTAACTCTTTGCATTTCCCTAGGTTATAAAATCTGCCCGGGTCATGAAGAAGGCTGTTGGCCACCTTATTCCTTTCATGGAGAAAGAAAGAGAAGAAACTCAAGTGCTCAGTGGCATAGTGGAAGAAGAGGCAAGTTACCCTATTGAGGCTGGAGGGTTTAAGGATGGCTGACTGGGGTGAGGAAAGACCTACTTGCTGTTGTCCCTGAGGATGAACTAGGGGAGATCGTGGGCACCTGGCTTATCATTTACCAAGTGTCCAAAGGTCTCAGGTCTTTTCCTTTGTACATGGCTCTATCAGCTCCTCCAGGAGGCACAATTTTCCCATCAAAGCCCGTGAATTCACAACTGATCCATTGATTCACTCACTTGCCTGCCCTTCCAGAGCTCCTGCTCTGTGTTGGGGACTATGGAAGAGCCAGGCCCTGCCCTTGAAGTTATCAAGAAACCTTTGTGCTTTGAAGACTCTTAGTTGACTATTCTCCGCATCTTGGTGGTGGCCTTGGTACGACTTCCAGGGTCACCTGGAACCTCCTTGTTGTCTGTGCTGCCAGAAAGCAAGCTCATTTGAGTTTTAACCTCATTTGGCTTCCTTTGAAGTCAGCTCTGAAGAAGGTAACTTCTTCTGTGGACAGGAGTTTAGGGGTGGCACGGACAGACTGTGGTGTCTGTAAACACCCCACTTGCTTGGCATGCTTTCTCTTGGGGATGCTGACGATGTGTAGGATGGTGTTACATGGGATGGTAACAGAATGACCCGGTGTACTGGGCTTATGTAGGGTCCCAGATTCTGACTGCGTAAGCCCCTCACTTTTCCCATCTCCCAATCCCCTATTCCTTTATTTCTGACAATAAACCTGCATCAGGCTTTGGGAATTAAGGAGATGGAACCTTCAGCTGCACAGCTGCTTTGCGTTGTTACTTCAACAGTTCTTTGCCATGGCGAAGCCCACAGTCTTGGTTAAGTAGTGCTTTGGCCCCTGTGCTGGCTGTCCTGGAAACTAATGGGCTTACAGCATTCTCTTAGAGAGCAGGTGGTGAAAGTTCTGAGCCTTCTGGATATGATTATTTCTGTAGTATGTAATTGCTTTGCATGCCAGTATCTGTCTGACTTAGAGAGCTGGGCTCTCTGCTCTGACATGGTGACAGCAGTGCTCAGCTCCTTGGCTTCCCCTCCAGGATCCTTACCAGGGCACCATTGTCTTGGCCACTGTGAAAGGGGATGTGCATGACATTGGCAAGAACATAGTCGGAGTAGTCCTTGGCTGCAATAATTTCAGGTAAGTTAAGAACTCCCCTCTTTAAACCCTTTTCTGTTTAAATAGAATATCATTAAAGTTGTGGAGCAAAGGTGGTTGGGTATGACAATAGATGTTGGAGGTTGTTTTTTATTTCTTCTTTCTACTTACCTGCATGTCTAAATTTTCTATACAGTTTCAAGTGAAATAAATCATCATCTCTGTTCAGCCAGGACAATAAGAATTAGTAAAAACCCTTTCAGAGCATGCGTTGTGCTGTGATGGAGCAGAGTTCTCAGGACACCTTCCCTCGCTAAATGGAGTTTTAGAGAAGGGCTTGTGTGTTTCTCTCTACTTTGTTCAGTACTGGACCCTGAGTGTTTCTTGGTGGTGGTGAACCAAGCATCTAGAATACTATAAACAAGTGAAAGTGCCCTTGATATATCTCTTTGTTGTTAGGTGCTATTGAGCCGACTCTGACTCACAGTGACCCTGTGACCGGCAGGTCTGAACCGTGTCCTGTCCTGTACCATCCTCCTCGTCTCTGATAGGCCCAAGTCCATTGTTACAGGCACTGTGACACTCCATCTTTTTGTATCCTTTCTCCCTCTCCATTCAGGGGCTTTATGGAGAAGAATGATCTCATTAATGAATACAAATATTCAAAAAGTTATTTCTATGGCAGACCTGTTTTGCTTAGATGTCAATAAATGTTTAATGGTGAAAAGTCTAACTAATGCCTTTTCTGGTTCATGTTCAACTAACAGTAACTTTCCATCATGGACTTGTTTGTGATTTGAATTTTCTCTGTTCAGAAGAGAGATGGATGGAACAGCGTCCTTGTGTTCTCATCTCTTGCTGTCATGTGACAGCATTTTGTTAAGCTGTTTCTCTTCTTCCAACATTTGTATCAATCTCTGCTTCAATCAGTGGAGGCCCCGTAAGGGTGGCTGGAGGTAGAGGGCGGGCAGGGTGACACTGCTTTTCTTGTGATAGCATGCCTGTTTGCCTCATGACTAACTATAGAAATAGCTAGCACATCTCCTTCTCCTGAAAGTGAGGAATACTGTCCCTGTCAATGTACTCATTGTTTGTTTTGACTTCTTGGAAATGAAGTAGTGGCTTACAGTGGGATTTTACCTAAATAATGAGTGTCCGGATAAGGTGGAGATGGTTCTGCTGTTGCTTCAGCTTCTTACACCTGATGTTGTTGGTATTCGTTTGCACATATCACAACTCATTGAAAGCAATAAATGCTTTGGAAAAGAGACATCATGCTTGGAAAGATGGAGGGTCAGCAAAGGAGGGCGAGGCCCCCAATGAGATGGATTGCAATAGTGATGGCAGCAATGGGCTCAAGTGTGTCAGAGATGATGAGTGTGGTGCCGGCTAGGACAGGGTTCAGGTCGGCCGTTCAAAGAGTCATTGTGAGTCGTACTTTACTCCATGACATCTAACAACAACAACAACATGATTTCATCAACTTTTCTGATCCCAGTAAGTTAACCTGTATTAGAGTCCATGTTGTTGTTAGGTGCCTTCAAATCAACAATGACTTAGAACAGATCAACACCTTGACCTCTCAAGATCTCTGACATGCTTGAGCCATTGTTACAGTCAAAACAAATTGTTGAAGTATTTTTCTTATTAAAGAGCTAGGTATATATCCAACTGAAATACTGCAGGAGCTCTACCAGAGAAGAAGGCTTATGTACAATTTCCTGAAAGCAATTTTCCAGAGGTCATAGGGCATATTTTAATTATTATTTTGACTAATGGATTGTTAGTTGAGAGGGTCATACGAAGATTCTCCCCCTGCTCCCATCTCTCCTCCAAGACATTTTAGAAGATCGGTAAGAGTCAGGATAATTCTCTATGATGATGGTGGGACTGAATGTTACCAGTTGTGGAAGCAGCTTTCTGACAGCAAGATTTTTCTCCAGCACATCGACCACCTCTGTCTTACACACAGTGAATTTTCTTTTCTCTACTACTAGGACTACCAGAAAAACAACTTCTAGTGAAGGTTTAAGTTCTTCTTACAAAAGCACGGGCGAGCGTACAAATAGCCTTTCAGAGTCAGCCGCCCTTTGCCTTGGTCTTTTGTGGGCTCTGGGTGGAGACAAGTTTGTTTGGTGCTGGTTGGTAACATGTTGCCAGGAGGCCGAGCTTGGGTTGTGCCGTCTGCATTGCTGAGTGTGGGGACTCTTGTGCATGGTTATGTGGTCCAGCTAGTGAGGGACTCCAGCACAGCTCTCTTGCTCCTGGTTCTTCATCATTGATGCAGGAAATCTTGTGAGATGTTGAGGATGCTTTTTTCATATTTGGAGGCTTGGGGAGATGATGTGTTGCAAAAGAAGTTTCAGATTTGAAGTTTTGGACATGTCACACAGACTATGAGCCTGTCGTCAGGAGGGGCCACTCCTGGAAAAGGACATCACGCTTGGAAAAGTTGAGGGTCCAGGAAAGAGAGGGAGAGCTTCAGGGAGATGGGTTGTCAAAGTGACTGCAGTGTCCTGCACCCTGGAGCTTGTGAGGGTGATGCAGGGACACACAGGGTTTCTATTGCACTTGGGGTCCCTGTGACTAACCTAACTACAGGGCCTCATCCACCAGGGTCTGACACTGAACATTGGTTTACCCCTTCGCAATTTATGCAGAGCTTTTTAATAACAGACTATATTTCCTTCCCCCCTCCCTTTTCTCTTTTTCTTCATCCATAATTTTGATCCTGCGGTGCTTATTTTGGGTTTAGAATTGCCTTTCTCCTTTTACAGTGGTTGGAACTTAGAACTTTATTAAGTGATTTCTTCCTGGCTGCGTGGCTTGTGAGTGGCAGGCTGGGCTCAGGACTTCTGATCCTCAGCATTGAAACATTCCATACTGTGTCAGTTTAGCTTCCAACCTTTTCGACATCCAAACTATAATGCTAATATTAATATTCTAGTTAAATTAACTTAAGAATTTTAAAAATAGCTTTTTTGGGGGATGATGCATCAGTCAGAAATAGTTTGTAGTTGTGTAGAGTTGGAACCGACCCATCACTGACCCTCTGACAGGTTTCCAGAGGCAGTTAATTGCACAGGAGGAGATTGCCCATCCTTCCTCCTGTAGCTGGTGGCCTCAAACCGTGTGGCTTTGTGATTGCAGCGCAGCTTCTTGCCACTAGGCCATCAAAACTCCAAAAATAATTTTGTTGTTGTTATGTAACGTCAAATCACTTGCGACTCATAGTGACCCTATGTATGACAGTTCTGAACCCTGCTGTATCCTGAGCCAACCTTATTGTCTCTGACGCACCTACCCCCATTACCCCAGTCACTGAGTAGATCTATTTCATCAAGGGTTTTCCTTTCTTGCACTGCCCTTCTACTCTTCTGAACATGATGTTCTTCTCCAAGGACTGGTCCCGCCTTGCAACATGTCTAAGGTATGTCAGATGAAGCTTCAGAATCCTTGCCTCCAAGGAGCAGCCAGTTTCACCCTCTTTAGGATGAATCTGTCTGTTTTCCTAGCAGTCCATGGTATATTCGGTACTCTTCTCCAGCACCACAGCTGAAAGGAATCAATTCACCTTCCATCATCCCTAATCATTGTCCAGATTTCTGATGCATAGCATATATTGTGAAGAACATGGCCTGTATCAGGCGCACTTTAGTCTCCAGACTGACATCATTGTTCTTCTGTACTCTGGAGAGGTCCCTGACAGTAGACTTTTTCCCAATGCAATTCGTCTTTTGATTTCCTGGCTGTTGGTATCAAGAGTTTAGACTATTTAAAAATATCTTAACCAGTAGTGCAACAAGGAATGAATGGAAACCCAAAATCTCTGTAAATGTTTATGAAAATTAATAAAATATAGAAAAAAAATATCTTAATCAGGTAATTGTTACATAAAGTTTATGAACATTGTATTTTTGAATGCACAGTGTTTAGGGCACTCTGATAGAGTTGTGCTGCCATCCCAAAGGACCACCTCTCTGATGCTTTGAATCAACCATTCGCTTCTGGGGAGAAAGATGACCAGTTTGCTCCCTTGCCCTTTACAGCCTCCATTAGTCTGTGTGTGGGTCAGCTTTCAGTCAGTTCTGACGTGAAGGCAATGAGCTTTGTATCTTGTTTTGTTTAGCACATGGGTTACTTGTGTAAAAATAAGTACAGCATATATTTTAGTACTTTTAAAACAAGGATTTGACAGCAAGGATAATGAAGCATAACTGGCTGAGAATATTAAACAGTATATTGTTTAAGAATAAAAGCGGCAGGAAGCTGTGTGAAGTTGTTAGTATGCTTAGCTAAGGGGAGAAAGTGAGAAGCTAACTCAAGAACATAGTGTGATTTTTTTCCTAAGTGTCTGAGTTGATAAATTACTCTAAACTTTTGTTATATTTCAAAGGGGAAACTACCTAAGATCTTGTTTTTAAAATTGGAAATTAAACATGGTCGATGTAGTTAGTCAGGGAATGGAATTATTATTTTAACTAGAAAACCAAATGTAAAATGGAAACTGCAGTATTTTAACCACAGGTTGGCATAGCTTGTGGGCCATAGACTAGTGTCGTGTGGCCCTCTGGTGGTGACATGTGTAAATTGCAGGAGCAGCAAACACCGGTTTTTTGTTTTGTTTTGTTTTTTATTAATTTCAATGAACATTTACAGAGATTTTGGATTTCCATTCATTCATTGTTGCACTTTTCTCCCCGCCCACCCCCACCCCCAGTTCTCTCTTCT